TGCCACCAGGGTTCCTTTCTTCATGGGCTATAGAGTCCTGTTAGATGCTGTGGAGTCAGTTCCAGTTTATAGTGACCTTCAGTACAACAGACTGAAACCATGTCCAGTCCTGTGCTCTACTCACAATCATTGCTATGTTTGAGTCTACCATTGCAGCCACTGTATTGAGGGTCTTCCATTATTTTCACTGACCCTCTACTTTTCCAAGTAGGATGTCTTTCTCCAGGGATTGATAACACGTCCAAAGGCCATGAGACAAAGTCTTGTCATCCTTACTTCTAAGGAGCATTCTGGTTGTACTACTTAGGGCTTTATTAGAGTTACACAAGCAGATCAGGGCTCAGGTCATGGAAGAGAAGAAGTAAGGCCAGCTCTTGGACCGGAGACGAACTTAGATTGTTGGTGAGATGAAGTTGAATCAGAGGACTCAGGAATGGGGCTGTGCTTACTGTCCAAGGTACGGGTAGAGAGGAGAGTCACTGCTCCTGGGTGCCCCAGGAGATGTAGTCTGGCCGCGTGGCCGCATGGTACTCATCGATGAGCTCCTGTACAACCTCCCTGGACATGTCCAGTTCGTCGAAGTTCTCCTTGAAGATGTCCTCCTTGCGGAACTGCTCCAGGAAGGCCTCCCGCTTCCGCAACTTGTCATACTGCTGACAGGAACTTTCAAAGAGCTGAAACAGAAGGAAATCTCCCAGAATGGGCACCATTGCCAGGGACACAATGGGCATGGATTGGGGGAAGGTGATGAATGTAGTCAGTGGAAGAGAGTGGCCAAAGCAGACTGGAACATTACACTCACTGAGGAGATACTGGTGTGGTTGGCCATCATGAGTCCGCTGACCCGGTGGGCTGAGGGCAGGTAGGGAGACTTCCTTGACAGGGCCACCTGGATGCTGGCTGGGCCCCAGGGGATGAAGTTCGCTAACTTGCGCTCCCGGATCCTCTGCAGGCTCTTGTGGACCTGGGGCAGACACAGCAGTGCTTGGGGCAGCCTCTCCTCTATTCCTGCAAGTTGCGGAGGTAGAAAGGACGGATCTCACCTACCTGGGTGGGGTCCACCTCTCCCTGGATGATATTGAGGATGGCGATGTAGCAGTGGTTGGTCTGGCGATCTCGGCCTGTGGAGACCATCACGTTCTTGGGCTGTAGCAGCCGCCTCATGACATCCAGAACTGTGGTCTTCCTCACACTGGCTACCTGAGGGCACAGTGAGAAACGGGGACCATCCAGAGACCCCCAGACAGAACAGTCAGTCAACAGCAGTAGGACACTTCCTCTAGGGCGTGACTTTCGATGTAGGTCTGTCTACACTGAGCCTCTGCTGTAGGTACAGGGCTCTTGGCCCTCCTCAGCTCAGCCAAGTCAGACCCATGTGCAGAATTCTAAGCAGACCCCTGTGGAGCCCAGTCAGCCCTACAGGAAGCCAAAGGCAGAGGGAAGACGGAGAACCAGTCAGCAAGAACGCCACCTGCTCTGCGCCAGTCCTGAGCCCAGAGCCTCTGGGGGCTACAGAAGGCAGCTTGTGGGGCAGGCGGGGGAAGAGAAAGGCCAGGGTAGGGCCTGCTGGGCCCAGGCCCAGTCCAGCCTGGGCACTGAGGGCCGCTCTTACCGACTGGTCTGTGGTGAGGGGAGTGTAGCCAGTCATGAGGAAGTGGAGCCTCGGTGTGGGGATGAGCGAGGCGATGAGGCCGATGAGGTCATTGTTCATGTAGCCAGGATAGCGCAGGGTGGTGGTGCTGGCTGACATGATGGTGGACACCTGGGGACAGGCAGGGTGTCCTGTCATGAGCCTCAGCTGGGGTGGGGCCTTCCCTTCCCTGATGGCCTTCTAGCAGTGAGGGTCCCAGTTCAGTGGGCTCAACAAGTGAGGGCTCACCAGCTGGTTGATCTGGGAGAAGGACGGGTTCTGGATGTGCAGGCGGTCTGTGGCAATCCGGTTCAGGGCCGTGTTGTCCAGCACCACCTCGGGGGACAGAAGGTTGAAGAAAAAGGGAGCAAAGAAACAGGATATTAACTTATGCCAGACTCCCAACCCAAAAAGTAGATCCATTCATTTAAAAAGACAACATCACAAGACACTTTTTTACCACCTAGAGCACAGTGAGCCAGTGGGGGCGGGGGAGTACAAATGGTTAGCACACTCACTGTGAACTGCGAGGTGGAAGTGACTGCGAGTTCACACCGAGTTCACACCGGGACCCTGAAAGAAAGCCCTGGAGATCCACTTCCAAAAAATTGAACCATTGATAACCCTATGGAGCACAGTTCTACTCTGACACATTCAGGCTTGCCATGACTTGGATTCACAGTGACTCTGTAGAGGGTTTCTGAGGAGCGGCTGGTGGGTTTGAACCACTGATCTTTTGATTGGCAGTTCATAAAACAATAGAAATGTTTAACAACAACCTCAAATAGGCACAAAGGAATATGACCTTGACTGGGTGGTCAGGAGGGTTTTCCTAAGAAAGCCACCCATGAGGCTGAGAGTTCAAGCATGAGCAGGCATTACGCAGGCAAGGTGGAGAAGGGAGGGATTCACTTTGTTTAAAGTCTTACCCTAAAGAGACTTCAAGTAACTTGGGAGTTAGGACATTATTTCCTAATTTGACAGTAAGTGTTGCTTTGTTGGGAATCCTGGTGTGGCGCTGTGGGCTAATGCGTCAGACTGCAAAGTAATTTGAACTCCAAGGTTGGTGGTTCAAACTCACCAGCTTCTCCTTGGAAACCCTATACAGGGTCTCTATGGGTCAGAATAGACTTGGTGGCCCTTAACAACAACAATATGGCTTTGTTGGTCCTCTATTCTCTGGTGAGGGGATCGAGAAAGACAGGGAAAATGGGAGCATCATAAAGTTTGTGGGAAAATGTCATTATCTTTTAATTCCTTTTTTCTATGGACTCTTTGAAGTCCCCTAATATATGATTCCCTGGTTTGAAGATGGGGACTGAAGCCTTGGCTTCCTTTTGTGTGTACCACACAGTCTGCGTTCTGCGTTAGCCTCTTGAGCGTGAGCAGCGAGTTATAGGGCTGCACCACCACGTCACTCATCTCGTCTTGGTTGGGAAACACCGAGTACGTCTGCACCAGCTTCTTGGGATACCTGAAGAGAGTAGAGGGAAGAGTGGCACAGTATAGGACACCCATCATTGAAGGATCCCCATCACTACCCATCTTTGTCTTTAGGGTGAACGTGGGATATTCCTTTCCAAGAACTACCAATCTCTTGAAGTAAAGGGGTGAGAACAGAAGGGAGCTGTCAACTGAGTTGAAGCTTCAAGCATCAAACCTGTATCACCTCTTGTTAGTTACCCAGAGACATCACAAGTGGATGAGTTTAACAAACACATATTTACTTTCTCACAGTTTAGGAGGCTCAGAGTCCAAATTCAGAGCAGAGGTTCAAGGGGAAGGCATTTTTGCTCTATCTGCTCAGGGGGAAGGTCCTTGTCTTTTCACCTTGTATTTCCAAGTTTCTTAGAGATCTCCTTGTATCTCTTACCCTATACCTCTTGCTCTGCTCAATTGTTTAATCTCTCTTAGATCTCAAAAGACATTGACCCATGACTTAATCTACATGACTCCTGTCTCATTGACATAACAAAGAGAACTCATTCCCAAATGGGATTGTAACCACAGGCATGTTGTTGTTGTTAAGTGCTGTGGAGTTAGTCCTGACTCATAGTGACCCTGTCTAGAGTTTCCGAGGAGCCGCTGATGGGTTTGAACTGCCAGCCTTGTGGTTTGCCAGTACAATGCTAATCCAACAGCACCACATCAGAAGTCCAA